ACCTGTCCTACCTCACGCTGTCCGCAATCACGTCCATCAAATCCCTCGAAAAAACCGAACAAGTCGCCTTGACATTACTAAGCAAATTACTAATCCCACTAAATGCGACCCCCTTTCCCACCAATCACATGCGACCCCTCGTTTGAGTAGTGCGAACGCACGGCTGACCCTGGTGGGGGATGAGGCGAGTCACTTGACATGCACGAGAAACTGGAATGTTCGAGTTTACACTAAATCGCCGAGAAACTGAATCATGATGCCCCCTAACTGGAATAGACCTCAATTATGAACGTGAAACGTTTCAAGAAAAATTGATAAACGAGTTATCAAAAGTGAAACCTCCTGCATTTGCAGATTCCGAAGTGGATGTCTCGTTTTCTACAGCGATTCTCGATCTGGTGCCGAAAAGACTGGATGGTGCGTTATTCGTGTTGTCGTCCGTGGCTGCTTCTAACCCAGCTTCGTATTTTAGCATACCATCATCGCGGTTAATGAACCAAAGACGTTGATGAATGAAATGAAATGTGCTTCCTGAAAGAAAATAAATCATTAGCAAAACAAGGAATAGAGGACATTCGTAACAAGCGATTAGTAAACGAGAGGGGTCTATTCCGTCAGGGAGGGGGCATCAAAACGCAGCTTCTTGACGAACTAGTGTCAATTTGAACATTCCAGCTTTTCAGGCATGTCAAGTGACTGCTAAAAACTGCATCATGCCCCTCCCCCTTGACTGGAATAGACCCAACGAGAGAATTTGAAGAAAGCAGGCAAGCCAAAAAGAGCAATGCCCAACGGAAGCAACAGAACAGAAAACCGATGGTTGAGTTGACGTCCATCGACTTCTAAATAGCCGCGCCGTGAACGCTCGCGCACGGCGGACAGTTTCAGTGGAGCACTCTATTCGCTGCCACCACTTGAATAGCTCGCACAGGTCGCGTTCATAGTCCTCGTTCTCGACGAAGTCGCTGAAGGGACTGCGCACATATTAACTAGAATAATCGCTGAATTGCTCTATAGGAAAGACAGACAGAAAGCGCTTTGTAGAGCGGGGAGTTTGATCGATTGCAACTAAGCCTTTCTGCGAAATCGTTAAATCTTCAGACGCAGCCTCGAGCCAAACTCGCAACGAGTAGATAAAGGTTACATACTTATTTGAAGAATGAGGGATATT